GTAAGAGCAGTCAGTGCTCTTAACCGCTGAGCCATCTCTCCAGCCCCCCAACACACAAACTTTTAAAAAAGACAAAAAGATGGAGAGCAATCAAGGAAGACATTCCATATCACCCCTTAGCCTCCATGCCTCCACATGTACAAGGACACATGTACACTTGCATACACACACATAGAAACACACAATCTCAGGGGCTGGAGAAATGGCTCAGCGGTTAAGAGCACTGACTGCTCTTGCAGAGGACCCGGGTTTGATTCCCAACACCCACATGGTGGCTAACAACCATCCATAACTCCAGTCCTGGGGGAATCCAACACCTTCTTCTGACCTCCAAGGGCATTGCACGACATGGGTGCACTTACACACATGCAGGCAATACACTCATACACATTTAAAAAAAATCTCTGAGACAGTTAAGAAAAGCCCTTTCTGGGTACAAATTATCTGGGGTCTTCTGGAACCCTGGCAACTTTCCTGAGGTCAGTTTTCTTGGTGTCCCCACCCACCCCAGATCCAGGACCTGCAGCGGGCAGCACTAGTTAAGCAAGCTGCACACACAGCCCAGCGGGAGAGTCAGCAGCATCAGTTCTCAGCAGAGCATGTTCAACTTCTCTGCATCAACTGCATGGTGGCTGTGGGCTATGGAAGTGACTTGCGGAAGGTGGAGGGCACCCATCACGTCAATGTGAACCCCAAATTCTCGTGAGAACAATGTGGGAACTGGCAGGATGAAGAGGGACTGTGAAAGGCTCTCTCCTATGGAGATATTGTTTTGAGGGTGTGGGAGGCTAAGGAGTATTTTTTAATGGTATTTGTATGAGTGCTTTGCTTGCATGTAAATGCACCAGGTGCATTCAATGCCCATAGAAGCTAGAAGAGGGCATCAGATCCCCTGGAACTGGAGTTATGGACAGTTAGCTACCATATAGGTTCTGGGAACTAAACCCAGGTTCTCTACAAGAGCAAAGATGCTCCTAACCACTGAGCCATCTTTTCAGCTCAATGATTTATTTAGTGTGTGTGTGTACACATGTATATGCCCACAGAGGCTAGAAGAGGGACTCAGATCTCCTGGAGTTACAGTTGTAGTTACAGTTAGTTGTGAGCTGCCTGACAAAGGTGCTAGGAACTGAACTCTGGTCCTCTCCAAGAGCAGCAAGTGCTTTTGACTGCTAAGCCATTTCTCCATCCCTAAAGAGCATTTTAGTAAGCATTGGTTGTACATTGTCACAGTATCTGGGTAAACAGGATTTATCTCTTAGCCCATCCTACAAGTGAGGAAACAGAGGCTTGGTGTCTTGCTCAAGCTTCTACAGCCATTATGGGATTGAGCAAGAACTGGAATTTAGGATGAAAAATACCAAGTGGCCACAAACCAACCCCTTGGTCCTACCTGTTCTCAGGACATCACGACAGGCCCAGCTCTTGGCAGAGGTGGCTTGTCTCTATATTCCCTGCAATCTTCCCAAGGCAGGAAGATTGCTTGAGCCCAGGAGTTCAAGGTCAGCCGGGGTAACAGTAAGACCTCCATCTCAAAAGGGGGAAATTAAAAAATAAAGAGGAAGCTGGGTATGATGGTGGTACATCCTCCAGGTTCTAGAACTTGGGAGGTAGAAGGAAGAGGATCAAGGGTTCAAGGTGTCATCCTTGACTACACAGTAAGTTCAAGGCCAGGCTGGGCTACATGAGACCCTGATTAGCCCAGCATGGTGGCACACGCTTTTGATCCCAGCACTTGGGAGGCAGAGGCAGGTGGATCTCCATGAGTTCAAGGCCAGCCTTGTCTACATAGTGAGCTCCCGGGCAGCGGGGGCTAAAGGGGGTCCCCGTTTCAAAAAAGCCAAAAAAAAAAAAAAAAAAAAGAAAAGAGAGGGCTAAGGATATAGCAGTAAAAGGCTCTGTCCACATCATCCCCCTCCAGGATTTACTATTCCGTCTCCCAGAAGCCTGTGGTCATCAATAGGGTCTTCAAAGACTGGAAGCCTGGGGGAGCCATTCGCTGCAGTAACTGTGGGGAGGTAAGTGAAGGGCTGTAGCCCAGACCCCAGAGTCCTCAGCCCCAAACTCCAGAGGCCCTTAGTCTGGGGAAGGAGACCTAGCTGTGCCCTCAGGGAGCCCTCACGCAGTGTGAATCAGCCCTGCACAATCAGCCCTCGGGGAGCCCTCACTCAGTATGAATCAGCCCTACAGTCCATGCTCCAGTCCTGACTTAGGGAGCCCATGGTGTGATGACCTCAGCTGGTGGATGCAGGCCTGGTCCTCAAAGAAGTCCAGCTTGAGGACAAAAACCCAGCTGAGGGCAGAGACCCAGATGCTACCTGCTGTCCCTCTGTTTCAGGAATGGGGTCTACAAATGATCTACAAGTCAGTGACCCTGCCAGTGCTCAGAGCCCACAGCATGCTACTGGAGACCCCTAACGGGCGGGTCCAGGCCAAAAAGTGGTCCAAGGTGCCCTTCCCAGTGCCTGACTTCAACATCCTGCTGGACTGTACCCAGAGCCTGTCTGACCTCTCCCTGGACTGACCACTTGCAGCTGCAAGTACTTGTCTCAGGCTGCAGGGGGCAGGAGAGTCCCCCCAAGCCATCACTGTAACCATCATTTTCTGAGTAGCACCTAGGTGCTGTGGTACCCTTTATTCTGCCTGGGATATTCTCATACTCATTGAATGGAGACAGGAAACTGAGGCAGGGCTGACCTGCTGTACTGTACTAGAGGTTATGATAACCTTCCCTTGCCCAGGCCACTTCTTTTTTTTTGAAGTTCTTCCTAAAATAAAAATAAATGTTAAAATGAAGTAGAAAATATGTGGTTATTTTAAAACCAATTTTGTTGAAGCATAATTGACAGAAATTAAACTTCACATATTGGTAATGTGCATTTTGAACATTTTTCTGTGTTTGCGCTCTTCAAGATATAAACACTCCTAGCACACACCTTTAATCCCAGAATTTGGAAGGCAGAGGCAGATTGATCTCTGTGAGTTCAAGGCTAGCCTGGTCAACATACTGAGTTCCAGGTCAGCTGGGGCTACAGGGAGACCCTGTCTCAACAAGAGGGGCTGGTGAGATGACTCAGCAGTTAAGAGCACTGGTGGCTCTTGCAGAAGACCTGGGTTTGATTCCCAGCACCCACATGGTGGTTAACAACTGTCCCTAACTCCAGTTCTAGGGAATCTGACACGTCTTTCTGGCCTCCTCAGGCATTGCATGACACAGGTGCACTTACACACATGCAGGCAATACACTCATGCACACACACACACATATATATATTTTTTTAAGACAAAAATAATTCCCCTTTGGGACTGGAAATACAGCTTACCTGGTGGAATGCTTGCGTGGCATCACAAAGCATAAGCTCAATTCCCAGTACCACATGGTACTGGATACCATGTATGAGTACTGCACACCTGTAATCCCAG